CTCCTTAAAACAAAATAGCAAACTAGAAACACAGCAAAGTATTTGTGTATGTCCAACCCTAACGACAAAAAAAAGTGTAAGAAAGAATACAGAATTAAGAAATGCTTAAAAGAACTGTATCTAAAACCATTAAAATAGTTAATCATCAAGTTTCCATCATCATGCATTCAGACACTAAAGCAACAGCATTCAACTCAGCAATTAACAAGGCTACCAATATTTGTATTTTTTCAACAAGTCTGTTGCAAAGACCTAAGTTTACTGTCACTGTACCACTGTCAGGTACCTAACCCCCAGCCTCCCTACTCATGCTTTGCATTCGGAGAACACTAGAAATCACCTTCATAAACCAGTAACTTTCCCTTCCCAATCCCAAAGCTCATAGGAGTGCTTGAGGGGAACTAAGCAGACAGGTTTCCCCGAAGCCCACCCAGGATTCAGGCCACACCTGGAAACTACAAGGCAGGGAAACAGCTAAGCTCACCGTGCTCAGGTTTTACACACAATATGCCCAAGCAAAACCACATAAATCGAAGCCTAATCTTACAGTTTATAGATCACTTTAGACAAATGTATCATGAAGAAGCTCTTACCTGCAGCAGGGCCCTCCTCTTGACACAGACAGCACCAGGCAGCCCTGCCGGGTGGAACAGGTGAGCTGCCCACCCCGGCACAAGGCTCACTTGCCCATCACTAGCTGCCAGCTGGTGAAGCAACAGGGTAAAAGAAAACACAGGCAAAGCATGCAGTGCACTTTCCTCCCTGGTCCACAGTGGGTGGAGAGCACACCATGCTCGTTTTGCCCATGGAAACAAAAGGCAAATCAAGGGCACTGTTTCCTCCCCCTCAGTTGGGCTTCAGCAGCTACTGGGTTCTCTGCAGCACTTTGATCTGCTCAGACAGGAGAGCGGCTTCACATGCCTTTTTGCCCTCCACGACTTGTGTTCAAATCCCAGGCTCCTGGTGAAAGGCTGGCAGCACGAGCTGTTCCCCCCGCAGCAGCTCAGACCAGGGTGGTAGAGCCGCCAGCTGGGGAGCCGGGCAGCCTCCTGCTCCCTTCGCCAGAGCTCCTCTTCCCGCCTCTGTCACCTTAGGTGCATGGCACCAGGGAAAGTACCAGACTGAAATGGAGCCATGATGTTGGTACACTGCAAAAAGAAGATATATGCCCCAAAACACACATTTTAAATGAGAAAGTCACTTCTCTTGCCTTGGTTAGTCAAACTTCGCCAGACCTCTGCAGAATGACTACAGCTGAACAACAACGTTTTCATTTACTCCAGATACAACATTTAAGTTCAAAAGCAGGTCAGAGTACCACTGGTGTTTGTCTGAAAAATACTTTAAATCCAAGTTTTCTGTCAGAAAAGTAAACCCAGCTAAAGATGTAAGAGCACAAGATGAAAAATACAGTGCCTTTAAAATATATCACCACATGAGCCCTGAGGACATCTAAATCAACCGTAGTACTGGCAATATGAAAAGCATTCAATAATTCAAGCACTCTGGGCCATATGTCAGCCTTAACTACAGATGAAAGTTATCTTTCCTTTTTCTACTTGATCACTGAAGCAGGATTCTAGTTAAAATCTCATCTGATACATTTTCTTCTTTGTAAAACACAACGTAGGCCTCGAGTGACTACCGCAGAACTAAGCAGTTCAGAAAATAAACTGCAGATTGATCAAAGGACACGTTGAGAGTGATTTGGTGTCCACAACGTGCCTCCTGTGGGCCTCTGACACCAGCCATGCTTCGTATTTATTCCTGTCCTCAGGTGTAATACGAAGTTTAGAAGACCAGAAGATGATCAGCTGGGAAAGTTTCAGTCTTCTCCACCCCTGGCCTCAGCCAGCAGCTGTTTCACACAGCCCTGCACTCTGCGCACAGCTGGTAGCTCTGAGGAAAACAGAGGCACCTCTAGAAACTTCATAGGCAACTAAAAAATGAGCAGCACAACCAGCAAAGTGGGAATTCTCTCTCTGCTTTCCACAACCAGTGGCCCAACTCCGCGCTGCAGCGCCCACACTCCCACACCCGAGAGGCCTCCCGCCGGCTGCACGGTGTGCGGGGGGCACCCAGCCCCGCCGAGGGACCCTGCTTCACCCCGCTGCCACCAGCCCCAGGATGCTGCTTCGGGTCAGTGACCCATTGACTGGCTCCCCTACACCATGCCACAACAGCTAGGCTGCTTCTCCCATAAGGGAAGCAGTATCAGCCATTTTAAAATGCAGTAGGACTTCAATAGTTACCGTTTGAAGTTTAGTTTACCTTCTTTTTTTGCTTTACTTACCTGTATAGGGGTGCACATCACACCATTCTTGCCCGCTGTGAATGTTTGTGAAGGACCACTGGCCTTTTTAACCAATTTAAAATTGAGCATACTTCTCTGAAGGAAACAAGCATTTTTACGTGCCTGTAAAAGTTTAAGGCCGCTTCCAAGAGTCTGCAAATGGCAGGTCAATGAAAGAAGTACCTAGACTAATCTGCTCAGTAGTTTCCTCAGAAAAAGAAATTCAAAGTTCACAATAGTTGACATCCTACAAGGCTTGAGTTTGGTTTTTTGTGTTTCAGGGGGGTTTCTGTTGTTTGGTTTGGATGGGGTTTCTGCTGTATCTAAATGAGTGAAGTTTCAAACATGATTACCTTTGTGCACAAGCACGATCAGTTTAGAACTTCTGGGTTTTATTTTTCTCTAATTTCACATTAGTAAATCTACTAACTGAAACCTAATTCTCTTGAAAAGTAAACATACACAGAAATGCCCTGCTTGTATCCAAAGGCAAGTGTAAACTGGTTTTGCCTTTGTTAACTTCCTTAAATTTCCTTTTCACATGTGGTCAGAGGCTCAAGCTGACTCCTAAAATAGCAACATAACAGCCCTTTTCACTTTCTTTTACATGCCTCACTTCTGTTCTTTACAGTGTACCTCTAACTCTTTATTCCCTAAGGATATTTAATTTTAGCACCTTCCCCATGACACAGAGGGTTTAGGGTTTATGTGCACAAGGCACCAGCTCTCCACTCGTGGCTGATGCCCACTGTGGGGCCAGCAGGACACCATCAATCCCTCCATGTGCCAGAGCAGCACTGCAACTTCCTGCTCCCCACCTTTGAAAAGAGATTTTACACCATGACAGGTAATTCTTTAGCAAAGTTTACCTCAAACCCTCAACTTCAAGTGTTAAAAAAGAAAAACCCTTAAATGATAAAAGTTATTACATTTAATTCCTTAGGGGGAAGCGGGGAGTGATTTTGTGATTAAGGACCTACTGAGGGGCTCAAGAGAATTAGTTCAATTCCAGGCTCTGAAACAAGCTTCCAGGTTCCCCTGGGAAAGCCTATGCAATCTCCTTTCTCACATGGACACTGGCTGGGTAATTTCTAAGTGCATGCAGCCCTTAGACATTGTGGTATCAACAGCCAAATAAATGCATAGGTAGGAGTTAGATGGACTGCAATCATTATGAAGACTAGCTAGCTATTTGAAGAGGGCACTACCATTAGACTATCACTTACCACAGAAGTCACACTTCCATTTTTTAAAACCAGATATTAGAGGGAATTTTGAAAAATAGTAAGTTATATTATCACTTACTCTTGGGCTGACAGCTAGTTCCTAATGGTTTTAGCTAATGCATTAAGTGAATGAAAAAAGCTGCAAGATGAAAATAAGTCAGCAGGTCTTGCAGAAAGACATGACTTAGTTCTCAAGCATAGGACTATTTTCCACGGTTTGCACTGCAGAGAAATTTTGCTCAATTAAGATCTACAGTTGGTATTGTTTCTTGGCAAAATTAAATTTATGGATTTATTTAATTCCTAGAATGAACAAATTCAATAATGAAAACTCATCTGACAACATGAGTTATGATAGAGCAAATCAAGGAAGCACTAACAGAAAAACATAATACTAAAGTCACTGTGTAACCTTCTAGAGAGCAGTGCTACACTATACAATCCACAGTGAAAGCATTAGACAGCCTGTTTTGCAAAAGCAGAGATACTGATAAGCACACATATTAGTTCATTGCTATTCACTACCAGCAGAAATTTCGCCCTACAATTATGAAAAGCAGCTGCCATACATGCCACAAATATATAAAACAAAACCTACTTCCCGTTTTTAAAGACTTTGCAATCATTTATGAGAATATGCTGTGCCTATTATGGTTACAATAGCTATAATGGATCTAACATGTTACAGAAGTTACTTTCAGTAACTTAGTGTGCTTTATATACATCTAAACTATTTTGTCTATGAAAGTAATTGCCTCTTTCAGAAGGTGGAGAAATCCACAGAAAGTTTCATGATCAGTTTTTCTGGCATTGTTTCTTTATGTTCAATCTATAAACAATAGTTTAACATTGATAGTAGTTATTTTTGCAGGGCACCTACCACTTATTTTGTATGTATTAAATCCAAGTATACTTGAGATTTCAGTAGAATAGCTGTTAAGAATATTTTTTTACATCTGGTATTTGATTGGGTTGTACGTAACTATAGATTAAGGGGGTTCTTCACATTAATTTGATTGCTTTTCTAACTACAATTATTTCAATATTTTCCTTAATTTTTTCACTGTATATAACTTCAAGTAATAGTGGAAGTAAAACCAGTTGAAAATACAAAAAAAAACAATTCCAAGTAAATTCAATATGTATTTATATTGATCAGGAGATCAATATAAAACCATTTCAATGCTGTCAGTTATTAGTTGAGCAAGTAACACCAACAATTCTGTTTGAGGTTAAGTCAGTCCTTTCACCTTCACCTCTTCAAGGTAAAATGCAAGAACAATTGATAGACTTTGCAAGAATTTACAGAAATTTCATTCATCCCATCCAACACGCACCAGAAGTCAGGTCTGACCAGACCTGCCCATTCTAACTTGAATAGTCAAATGAAGTTGAACCACAAAGTGAAACTGGTGACAACTCTGTAAAACGGGTAACTTTAGAAGCTGCTAAACAGTCAAAATAATTTGAAATTACAGAGGTACAACACTGGCATTCATGAACATTTATTTTAATAGAAAAGCCTTCTCAAATTCTTCGGAAGTTTTCACAGGCTGGAGTGTGACAGAAGGTGCAATGAATGTGTGGTTACAGGACTTCCACTATAGCCAATGGTGTCAGCAGTGTCTTCTTAGTTAAGGTCCACATTGGTGCTGTAGTGGTTTAACATGAATAGCTGTGACAAAATACAAAAAATACTGTAAGGCAGTTGTAGTTTCTGTAGCTGATCACCCTCCCCACACCTACTTATATCTAAAAGTTGGTCCTCTTCTATCAGTGAAAGGCTAATTGCCATCTCAATGTTTCATTTTACTGTGTTATTAAGCCTATTGATTTGTTATAAACTTTTGGTTGGTCCATGTCCTCAAATAGGTCATCTAACATCAATTTCTCACTTCAATGCAAAATATAGTCCAATATCCTATTCCTTTTAAGTAACCTGCATACCTGAATGAGGTTTCAGGCAAGGGCCCACTGCAAAGCTAACACACTTCTGCAGCTGATATTGTGCTGCAGAACACTGTTAAAATGAAAAGGTATGTCCGGTCATGTCTGATGAGGAATCATGTATACCTGTTTCACTACTGATTGGTGATTGTCTCACTGATTCTTGTCTCTGTCCAGACAATGTGTTTCAATATGAATTAGCCACACACTTCTTTGCATCTAACCTAAATAATTTTAAATACAAATTACACCAGTTACTTACTATTCTATCTACAGTAACATAGAAAAGTTCTCTTTATAACCTTAAAAGAATCCACCTATGCCAAGGGAAAGAGCTTTGAAAAAACCCACACAATTCCTCTAATAACCTTCTATAGTTCTGATAATACCTTTCAGATTATGTCAGCTCACAGCTACTGCGCACTCCCAGGCAAGCCCACAGCACTGCATGCCTAATAAACAGTAAAAGCATTCACTTCCATTTCAAAACTGGAGAAGCATATCAGTATATTTTTTTATATTATATTTTATATGTCTATAAAATACAGGAATGGCCAATTAGTCACACATTTAACCACCATGCTTGGTTATGTAGCTCCTACCAACAAGGAAAACCTTCACTCCTTAAAAAAGCTGAAAAATACACTCAAAGCAACAATCAACCTGCCTTGCAAATCAGAAGTGTGAAATGCCACTCGACTGCTCCTCTCCAAGCACTGGCTTTCTACTGAGTACGAGATCATGCTAACCCTAAGCCCCTTCCCTCCTCTTCCTTTCCCTTGTGACCTCTGTTCTAACACAACAGGCATATTACTGACCAGCACCAAGAAGCTCACAATACAGAAAGCAGCGGACAGGCACTGTAGCTGGATACCAGAAACCATTGCCTGAAAGACAGTCACCATGGGTCTAACCCTCTTTTAAATTACTGGAGAAAATTGTTTTCAGTGCCTCATTTTACCCCCCCACCCCCACCCCATGTCTACAAAACCGAAGGCAAAGCCCTACAGAAAAGCCAGCCAGCCTTCCTACGGGCCAGCAGGTATTTCCCTCTCGGTGTCTGCAACCCCGCAAGCAGGGCACGTGACTGCTCAGAGTTATGCAGTACACCATTTAAGCTGATTGTGATCTACCTTTTCAAATCTACTCTCACTGAACTATGGGGATCTACAAAATTATTCCCCCCCC